GCGCGAGTCGTGATATCGCCGCCTGAGAAGAATGGCTTCCTTCCGTTGAGGTTCGGGAATCCAGAGCATTGGCGTTTCGTTGACGAACTAGCAATATCGAGTTGGTACTCTATGGCCTCATCAACTAAGTCTTGTTCTTTTCCTCTGAGTGAAGATATATTCCAATTTCTGACTTTAAGCTCCCTCTGGTGGTGTCGTTCTCATGGAGCCTTTTCTGACGTGCTCTAATGGTATCGTGCTTTCTGCCTGCTCAGTTCATAACTTCTAGGAACTCTATTGCTGAGTGATTTCCTCGTCGTCGTTCTTCGCCTGCTGCTGTTGTGCTGCTATGCCCCCACCTGGCAGAGCCCGATAAGCATGTCCTGATCGCTGACTTTTCACAGTTTGTTTCAGTCCTCCAACAACCTGCGCGGCTCTGTAACCCGGGTGACGACCAAGCCGGTATAATTTACGATTGCGTCAATACCATGAGTAGCGGTGGCTAAATTTTACTTAGATTTGCCACAGTCTCCAACTCTCGTCCTTTTTGAACAGGGCTTGGGGCCGGCAGTGGCGGAGTTTGAAATATACGTTATACCGTATTTATGTATTTGGTAAATTATTTGTTTTACCAGTGCGTCATCCCGCTTGGAAATTCTTCGGAAGACAGTGCATATTTAATTTTACAGTTTCTTTTGCATTCGTTGACTTCAGTTTTGTTACATTTTCTGCATGTAATTATGCCAGTTTTATTGTTGCCGGAATTTTGTGTACCAAGGCAGCCTAATTTGCCAAAGCTTGATTTGAAGCTAATTTTATGCGCTTTTTTCAACATAATTTTCAAGAGATCTGCCGAACCGGGAACTAATTGTAACCTGTTGCTTAATCTTCTAGAATTATAACAAGATGCAGTTAGAAATAAGGCGAAGTAGATGACGTTCGCAAGTAAGCATTTCGCGTGCCATTAATAACTTCCTCGACATAAAAAATTGCAGAAAATATACATCATAATGCCAGACGGTAAAATTGTCACAGTGGGATAGTCATACGCGACTACTTTTTGCAATCCATTTCACGTTGCGATATAGTGATGCAATGTGCCATATATAGAATCACTGTCTTCTGACTGCTAAAAGTTAAATTGGACATTTTTAACTGACAAATTAAACACCTGAACAGAACAGCCAATAAATCAGACTTTTCAGCAGAAGCAAAACAAATTAAAAAACTACAAACAGAAATTATCAACGAAGTGGGCTGTGCGAAATGAAAATTTCTGTCACTCTTAAGTCTGCAGTACATAGTTGTGAGTCCAATCAGCGCATAGACATGCGAAATTTTATGCTTTGCATATGAAGTAACAGAAAAGCCATGTTTTGATGTGATATAAAAGAGTCTATCAATCAAACGTTGAGTAGACTATGGTCCAAAGTCTTTCTACGGTAAATGTTTTAAAATTTCCAGTAGTCGTGAGAATGCCTTAGTCAAAATAATAATGGTACTTTGTTCCAGTGTACCCTTCAGCCACTTTCAATGGAGCATTTCTACGTTGTTGTAACACATTATGTCGTATTGAAAAATACATAAAATGGTTAATCTATACACAAGGCGTACGAATAAGTTATTAAATCGAGTAATTGATCAGTACTGACGTTTCAGCTTGTGTCTCATGACCTTCTTCATTTAGGTCCGGGGTGGCTTATGCAGTTGGTTATATAGTACGCAACTGTTATAGTGTATAAAACGAATCATCTGATTTATTCGTTTGCACCGTATCTAGATAGAATTGTTTAGTGATTTTTTCAGTATGAATAACATCGCATGAACAAATTACTCAATTGTATAGTATTTTCGCATTAGTTAGCTTATTTTCAAAGGTACCAAGAAAGATGACCAGGATAAATATCAGACAATCAGGGTTTGAGCTCGACAAGTTTGTTCCTTAGAAAAATGTCCCAATGCCTGACGACATCTCAAGACGAGGCAAAGGCGACTTATCCCTTTGAAAAATAAAGGATTCCAGTGTCAGCGCTGTCTTTTGGTTAGGCGTAGGCTCGTGAAAGGCTAAAAGAGATAGTCTTGATGAATCCCGGACGCAATTTTGGGACGCGTCTGTACGAGATATTCCAGGCCATCGTCAGCCCTTCCAGCGAGTGACAGAACATCTTGCGTCATAACAGTACGTAGCGTTGTGGCTAGGGAAATTAGTGTCATCTGCTCAATGTAATCAGGATGAATTAATCATTTTTGTAACTTTTACATTTTCAAACGATGATTAAGTGAATTTCATTTCTCTGGTTAGTACGATAATTAAGCATTATGTATTGTAAAATTATAGTATGGTAACTATTTTCCTGATTATCAGATAATTTTGGATTACTGTAGTTCTTAAATTTGTGTTTAAACGTGGTTTCTTGCCCGAATTGCGATATTTTGTTATTTTCGCATTGCGTTTTTCATGATTATTTCGGAATATAAGTAATTAGTCATTATAAAATTTTATTTTGTCTAATTTACTTAATTTTCTTCAGTTAGGTTAAGGTTTCACAAGGGAAAAAATTACCGTAATGGACGACGATTCAATCGTTGATAAGCCGAGTGTCGTGTCCAGGTTTTTCACGGCAGTATCGCAGGTAATTTTGTGCTTTCTGTACGTGTCGCTTTGCTAAACCAGCATATTATTTGCATAAAAATTTTTTGACCAGGCTTTATGCAAATTTGTAGAAGTTTATTTTTAACATAAGCCAACGATGCCTCTAAACTTTTCATCTTTGAAACAGTACAGTAGCTTAAGACGTAACAGTTATTTTTTCTTTACGTCACGTTCATTTTTTGAACGGCGCAGAAACCATCATATTGTACTTGACAATGGCAAACTAGTAAAAAAGTTTAAAGCCACTATCGTATTCAGAAGTAGTATGTTTATGTTAACTTATTTCGAACTGAAACATCTAATGATGGACGTTTTGCAACTATCCTTTCTTTATTGCTCTTGCCCATCGGCGCATATCCGGTTATTCGATGCACCCTGAATTTTCGCTTTATCGGAGTCTGTTTCGCTGCGTTTTCATAGTTATGCTGTTTTTGTGGCCTTCATCGATTAATGCTGGTCGCGCGGAAGCTCTTGGTTTCCCAGTACATCGCTACGCGAACTTAAGCTCGGAATACTGGCGATCTTTCGATTGCAGGCGATTGATGCTATACGCTTGTGCCGTTGGGTAACAGTTACGTCGGTTGGGTCGTTTTAATTAAATTTTTGCTAATACTGTGCTTTCCTGTAATCAGGACTTAAAATCGTTTCAAGTATGCTAATGAAATCTGGTCTTAAAGAAGTGATTTATTATGAAATATGCATATATTGCATATTCTGCACGATTTCCTTAATATGCTATAATCACACGAAGATATTATCTTTCGCTGTATATATTGGTCATGCCGGTCTATGAACCATTTTTTATTCTTGTTCTTAGAAGCAGATTATTAATTTAATTATTATTTAGATATTGCCTAAAACAACATTGGTAACGAGGAAAATATTGTTTTCTTCAGTAAAATGAATCGGTACATCTATGTACTGCAAGTGCTTATGTTCTGTGAAATAGCGACGTGCATAAATGGTCCCTGAACGTTTGGAGGAAAGTGGAGACATTAGTCACACTGATATACGGTTCTGGGGAAGGGAGAGTTTTGTGCAGTGGCGTACGAACTCCTGTTTTGAGGTTCGAAAAAAACTCAGTAATATGGTAGAGAAGGAGTACTGGTTTCTGAAACATCACTGATGACCGCAGAGCATTGCCTTAATCAACCTGATTATAGGTGATGCACCCATGCATTACAAGTCTTTACATGTCGTGGAATTTTTCCTTATCTGAATTTTCCCCTATATGTAATCGCAGAAAGGCGATGAAACGCGCCGTTAAACTCGGTTGAGAGTAGTTATGCTCGAATTAATAGGTGTTAGGCTTAACATCTTGCTGTATAAACCATTCTTTTTTCGGAGCACCTACCAGAGTACGAACTAATTCGATATTTTGAGCATGTTCATCAAACAAAGAAAATATAAGGAAGCGGAGGAAAAGTAGGAGCGGGAGATGGAGGAGTAGAAAAAGAAAAAGGTGCAAGCAGTGGCATAATTGTTATCGCTCAGATCGTCGTGAACTGAGTCTATGTGCAAAGAAATGGTAATGTTTCTCATTTCCATGGGTAGGAGTTTAGAGCGGAAAGGTTTAAATGACTGACTGCTGATACAACTCTCGCTTATTAGGCGATCATTCTGCCTCTAGTTCCAGAATGTTTCAAGACGGCTTTACGAATTTTATGTGCAGTGGCTTACTTGCGTCAGTAAAACAGTATAGGATATTGTAATAAAGTTATGTGGTACTCGTCTCTATGAATGCGAGTTTAAGCCCAGATTATAAACTAAAAGATCTCTGTCCGTAATGTTTTATGAATAATGCCTATATTTCAATTTTTTATAAATTTATACAAGATGTGTATGTATGTTAAATGGCTAATTGCGTATTGCTGTATGCATATATGTGCAGATTTTTATTCCATGTATGAATGAAGCACATATGATTGAGTGGACATCTGCCAGGCATCAGGGAACATTGCTTGACATAAATCTGAGACTATTTTACACTGACAGACATTACAGATCTGGACTACTGAACTGTTCAAGTTTTGTTATCAAATATAAGAATTAGAGCATCATTTTTTACAGTTTCTTCTATGGTTTGGAACCTACAACTGCATTGTTGCTGAAATTTTTACGGGTAATTATGATACGTTGTCTTGCTTGACTTGTTTTCGTGTTTTTATTTTTATGCAGTTTGCAGTGAATGTTTTGTTTTTGTTTTTTAAGCGGTACCAGCTGTTTTTGGACACGTGGACGCCATATATCGCAGTCCGATGGATAACTACTGTGCTTTTCAGCTTCATTTTCATGGCACGGATCGTTTATCTACAGGTAGCTATGAGAGAAGATGACGAATCATTGCGTGTTCGACTTCGCCCTGCCTCTTTAGGGATACTATATCGTCACTTACGCGTTGGGCATCTATCACCTGAATCTGTTTATCGCATTTCTTACGCCGAAAATCGATCCTGCGTTGGATTTCGAGAGCGGTATTTTCAAACAATGTTTTACTAATAGATTTTGAAATTTATACTTTTATATAGAGAATGAAGAAGGTCCCAGCTTGCCGACTACTTCAAGCGACGAATTTCGACCCTTCATGCGACGCTTGCCAGAATTTAAATTTTGGTATTTTATTTTTGCTTTAAAGATCCACATCATTTAAATCGATAGAATGCCTACTAATCAACTTGTTATATCCCTTACACATTGTCGACTGTGAATTAAATTTTAAATCAAAAATTTTGACGTTAAGGCACGCTTATATATAACGTAGTATGACTTTCAGCAGTTCGGCACGGGAAAACAACCAAAAAGAGATATGTTGCAAAGAACAGATCAGATGAAGAAAGTTAGTGACTGTTGCTAAGATTGATTTACCCAACAACTAATCGTGGCAATGCTAACACTTGATCAATTTCGATTAAATTGCCTGGCGTTAAAGGCCTAATCTCTACCACACAGACAGGTTAACTGCTGTCATGAAGACCGAATTATTCGTTATGCCATTTTTCAGTCACACCTTCGAAAGTTTGATGTCTCGGCAATCGATATCCAAGATACTCTACCAGAATTTATTTCCTTCGTAATTGAATGTTTTAGTAACCTACAGCTACAGGTTGTGCTGAAAGAGATGATATGCATAAAATGACAGGCGAACGAATATATCCTATCTGCATGTGTAGGAGTCTCGTTTGGCATCTGTTATGTTCCTTAAATAAAAGCACTTTTTTAACAGTTTTTTTTCTGTTTGATATCATTTCTGTGATTCATAGAAATGCATCCTGGAAAATTATTCGAATCCAAAATTACCAAATGAATCCTTAGCCAGTCAGGCAGTCAATTTCGGTGGCTACTTATCCTTTAGGACCTTGCACATAGTGTTAGACGGTTCTTACGTTTCCAGTCCTATCCTGACAGCAGCTTCGCTCTGCTAGAATATAGTCTGCAGGGTTATTTTGCTGTCCCCATGGGTCTTCGACCGATGAATCGAACATGTAATCGCTGTTTCGCTTTCCTTCCTGGAAGCATTCGCAAAACATGACCAGATCATTGCAGATGTGTCACAATATTGAGAAACAGCCTCTACACGAAGACTTTCTCAGATGTCTGCATTTAGCAGTTTTTTTCAGTTGCGTGAGCCCGGCTAATTATCATAAAAAGCCAATTTCAGTCGCGTGTACTAAAAATGCGAACTCGTTCTTTTTTCGGCAATCTGGCGTAGGGCGAAGAACTGGTTGCAGTTGCTTCGGCCTAAACAAAGGCCATGCTGCTACTGTATCATTTAATGTGCTGTTTCGCGATAATCTGCAAACACTGGCATTAAAAATTTATAGTATTCAACGAAAGTTAAAAATATCACTTTGATACTGTGATTTTTGGGCTGCTGCCATTAGACGTATTTATTGCATACAACAAGTAAAATTTAATTCTATTCACATTGTGAGCTCGAAGGCGAATGGAACTTGATAGCGTCATTCATTCGAGGAAGAATGTGAAATCGCGAATAGCCGCAATGATTATACTAAAGCGAGTGGATGTTAGAGAGCGCATGTTGTTTAGATGTTCTTACAAGGTCGAATTATGTTGTATGTTAGTAGATACATGATCTGAACATCTCCAGCAATATCTTTCGTCACACTCAAGATTGATTATTGCAGAAATACACTTAAAGTAGCGGTACAGTTTTGCTACAGTATGCAAGTGACCACGCTACACCAACCGGTCTCGCCCCTTAGATCTTCATCAACATTGCAGAATATCCCTCGCATCTCGGCTGTCAATCTCTAGACCGTATGTTTGAGTTTGACCTCAGCATGCTATGACTGGGACAAGGGTCAAGCATCAGTATTGGGCGAACAATTTTTCCTCTCTGGTTTAAAGTGCTCAGCTCAGATTCAGTGAAAAATGCGGTAACATAAAAGTGACCAGTCAGACCTTCTCGCTATCTGCTGAGGATCTCGCTTTTGTTGAGATTTTTTCCTAGTCATGCTCTACGCCACACACAATCGTAAAGAGTCTGCAGTACTTTCATTTCCTTTTTGAATAAAAATTTTTCAGCTGAACCCTTATGTGCATTTCTTTCAAATATTGCGGGTTTTCACGGTTTGTACAAACACTGTTTCACATACTTTTGTTTTTTGTTTTGTGGAAAAACAGTTTTATTTTGTGGCATGATTTTTAGGTACTCCGCTACCAAAGCCATAGTCGTGGCATTTCTCGCAACCTTCTTTGAGGCGTTCAATATTCCCGTATTCTGGCCTATTCTCGTCATGTATTTTATTGTTCTGTTCTGCCTAACGATGAAGCGTCAGATCAAGGTAAGCGGAAGTTATCATCTTTTCATTTGCTTATCGAGTTTAAATATTTTTTATTAACCTTTTTAACTTGACCCTGTCGGTTAAAGGAATTACGGAGTTTATGGAGTCTTGTCACTTCGAATCGTTCGCTTCACTGCTACTCTACCTCACCTCACTATCTGGCATTATCAGGCTCCTATCGCTTGGTATAGTGAAGATTAGGCGTATGTTCGAAACTCAGGACGAAGAGTCTTGTAATTACATGTTTAGACGATCTGAGGGACCAAGTAAAAAGATATAATTTACAATTAATGGATGCTGAAGGATTCAGATTGCTATTTTATTAATTTAGAAGGAAAGGAAAGTGAAAGTTTGTAACTGCTGGAATGTCGGGGTTTCTTACACTTTCATGAAATGGTCAGTCCTCTTGCCCTTTTTATGCGGCTAATTATGGGGCGCTGATCTCCATGCCATACCATCAGTTAGGTGTGCCTTATTTTAAAGGCAGAGTCAACAGCAGTTGTGTGATCAGCATCGTATGTAGTCTCCCGTTTCCTTTTCTGCAGTGCTGGGATTTATGCGTATTTTCCTTGCCTCGAGGCACTACTAAGTTGACCATGGCTTTATGAAGTCGCAGCAATATGTTACGAATACATATTTTGATTCTTTGCGATGGCATGCAACAACAACGGTTTTTAAAACTATTGTTGAAGAGCATGGTAGTCTGCAGGTGCTCGGATTAAATGAAATCATTTATTGGTATATGAATGAGAGTAGCTCAGTGATCAGATGGGAGTCTGACATTCGAAAGACAGCGGGTTTTAAACTTGGCCAGTTGGCGTGCTTTTCTTTCTTCACGGGTAAAAAGAGCATAACGGAGCATCACTTCGAGCAAAAGTCATACTGGAGAAGAAAGTAGAACTATGAATCCTTCAGAAATGTGCCACTCTCGACTGATGGCGACCGGATAATATCCGTGAAAAATTATTTCATGAACGTGTACGGCAGCCTGACGTCCGGCAGCAGCAAACGTTCTGTTTTCTTTCCTTGTAAATGGCCTCAAGATCATGTGA